AATACGGCACAGTTTAATCTGTTACTGGGCAAGAAGGGGTGAAACCTTTGCGGTAAAATCTGTTTAATTCTCTTGTCAACCAGAAACGGTGATGCGGTCTTCTCGACTGGGAACTCCGGTGAGAGATTTGACAGTGTTTCGGCGCTGAAGCTAAAACATATAGGCGTAGAAATGATAGGGGTTTTGGAAACACCGCTTTTTGTAAACAATACATGTTTTCGTATGATAGGGGTTTTGGAAACACCGCTTTTTGTAAGCAATACATGTTTTCGTATGATAGGGGTTTTGGAAACACCGCTTTTTGTAAACAATACATGTTTTCGCATGATAGGGGTTTTGGAAACACCGCTTTTTGTGCAATATATGTTTTCATATGATAGGGGTTTTGGAAACACCCCTTTTTGTAAACAATATATGTCATCATATGATAGGGGTTTGGACACACATGTTTTTGTGATCAATATATATTTCTAAATGATAGAGATTTTGAAAAACGCATTGTTTTATATTCATGTATTGTTTTCAAAATACATATTGTTTATAAAGTATGTATGTTTTTAAGGTATATAAATATATTGTTTTGAAAAGTATATATATATTTTCTTCTTAAGCATATATGTTTTACAATTGTATGTATTTACTATACATATATTGTTTTGAAAAGTATATATATATTCTTCTTAAACATATATGTTTTACAATTGTATGTATTTACTATACATATATTGTTTTGAAAAGTATATATATATTCTTCTTAAACATATATATTTTACAATTGAATGTATTCTAAATATATATATTGTATTTTTGACAGTGTTCCTGCTTCGTAGTGGGTGTAGGGTTTACTTTCCACCTGCACTTGTAGAACAATAGCCGCATTAGCAAACACTGCACAGTGGCTGACTGTGTCTCTATATAAAGTTGACCACTGTCTGATCTGCTTAGTAACATTTTGTAGTTTTTTTTCTTTTTAAGGCCATGTTGTATTTGTATTATATGGATGACATCCACATGCGCACGTAATTTCGGTCCGTTTACCAAAAAAAAAAAAAAAAGTTTTCAACCATACTGTAAATCGTCCAAAACAGTTGCAAAATGAGCAAAAAGACATACCGTAAGTTGCAAAAAATGATACCACTGTCGTAGAATGCCAAAATCAAACCCAAAAAAGACGAAAATGTAAAGAAATGAATTTGAAGAGTAGATTATTCGCCAAACCATACTCTGTGTCATTTGTTCAACCTTCAAAACCACGTAGATTTCATAATGAAAGCAACTTTTTTTTTTGGCCAAACTTTTTTTTTATTCGCACGCTCGCATCAGTTTTGGGGTTCCCAGAGGATGTCATCCATATAATCAAATCAACATGGCCTAATAGGATAAAAAAAAGAAACCTGGCGACCATTCTCTTAGCCAAGATGCCAGACCCATATATAGCACACTGGACCCAAAGTAATATCCTGCACACTGGGATATTAATTTGGGCCCAGTGTGCTATATGGGTATGGCATCCAGGCTACCAAATTTCTCAATGGGTCGGGCAGTTTTCGAGTGTTTCGGCTCCAGTTGGCACAGGCCTTGGCAGTCAATTTTCTACTTCTAGCCAGCCTTTCTCACTACTGCAGTCCTGTAGTTTGGATGTATACATTGTAACTTGGATGCGAGTCATGTTCAACTTTTCCTTTTCCTTTCTATAGCTTGAGAAAAAGCTGTTAGTGGGTGCCAGACACCAAAAGTCATCCACTGGATACATTGGGCCTAGTGTGCTGTGGATCTGGCACTCAGTCTCAGGCTATTAGTACTCTGAGAAATTTCCAAATTGAAGTTTAAGTCCTCTTAGAAACTAACTTACTCAAGAGTTGTTCTGGGAGGTCTGGGGGTCCCATAATCGCACAATCGGCTCCTTGAGTCCTGCTAAGTGTGCCTGTGCTTGTGTTGCCTGTAATCAACACAACACAATCCCCTATATCCTGATCCAATCACACTGTTTAGTCAGATCACACCTGTAAGGTTACCTTGGAACCAAAGCCTGCTTTGGCTTAGCTTGGTGATGTGTGAGCTCCGAAATAGATGTTGGAAAGGAAATTTAAAAGCAGAATGTTTTCTTGTTGCCCGTTTTTGAGGGCCTGCATAGGGCCCCGGGTAGTGATTATGAATTAAGCAAGTTACAGCTTATGTGCTGATTATGAATTCCAACGATTTTACAACGCAGCTGCCTTCGGATTACAAAGACTATAAAGGCCTGATTATGCCTTACAAAAAAGGGAATGCAGGCCCTCATTTTTCTGCATACAGGTGCATACCAAGAAAATCTTTTGGATACAAGTTCAAAATACCTGAACACCAATGTACCAGTACTGTACATAAAAAGCATATAAGCCTCCCAAGACTTGGTGATTCAAAAAGAAGAAGAAGAAGAAAAAAAAAAGAACAGCCTGTTAAGAGTCCATCCCAACATAGAAAACTGAACAATTTTCCAAGATCACTTCAGTAACGTTAGAACATCGCTGACCAGACTGCCCATGGTTTTCTAATAATAGAAAACCACAGTAGCCATTTTCATCAAATTTATGTCAGCTTGACTCAATTAATTATGTAGGACAGTTTTTTTTTATCTAGATTGATAACAGGTGTAATTGATACTATAAAGTCATTTTGTTCATGGTTGAAACAAGGTACTAGTATTATAAAATTGGAAAACAAACTCATATTCAAAGAGTCATGATTTTGAATAAAGCTACTGCATATATTTGAAAATTTTTGTGCTTGATAGAAGGTACAAGTAGTTTCATTTGGTAAAAAAACAACAGGTAAATGATCCCTTCTCATGCAAAAGTAAAAATTTCTCTCTACTTATACAATGAAATAGTGTAGAAATTACTAGACTTTGGAAAATTGTATGCTTCAAACTCATAGATTCTATCACATCCATTTAGCGTTGTATTGATTGAAAAATAACATGTTGTATCCAGGCTTCCACCCAAAGTGCTTCTGACAAAAACTCCTTTGTTCCAAAGTTCAGGGACACTGCCCAACAACATGGGATTTTGCTGAAAGGAGAAAAGGAACAAAGAGAATGGAGAATTTGTATGGAACATGTTGCCCTGTGTATTCCCCTAAGTTTCCAGTGTAAAACAGTGTTAGGCCACACCAATTTAATTTGTTGGTTCTCGGATTCGCCTCTTCGTTTTTTTCTGATTTGCAAAAAAAAAAAAAAATTGATTCTTTTCCTGAATCAACTGAAAAATGCTCATGTTTTGCCCCCCAACAGTTGAGGAAAGTCCTTTTCTTCCTAGTTGTTACAGTTTTCCCATCTATCATTGCAGTGGTTTGATTAAAAGTTCAAAATTCAATGTTTAAATTTTCACCCAGCTTTTTGTGTTGACTTCATGGCTCATTTCATAGCATTTAAGCCTATAATAGGATGCCTAGACCTGTTTTTATTTTTATTTTTTTTCGCCCTGTCGCTTCATATTTTTTCTGAAAAAATCCGAGAACCAACAAATTAAATTGGTGTGGCCTTAATATGGTTTCATTGGGATCTGTGATGCCTCCTCAGGTGTTTCTATTCTTAATGGCCTATCCAAGAAACAGAAGACCCATACAGCACGTATTTCTGAGTAGTAGCACTGAGTTGGTTTGGCCCAACTTTCAGGACAATTATTCTGACTTCCTGTTGCGGGCTGCAGCTTCCCTTTTTTAAACCCAACTGACTGTGTGGGATTGGGGGTTTAAAGGGATCTGGTGAGGCAGAACCTTTTTCCTTGTGGTTAGAAATGCCACAAATGACCTGTCGGCAGTGAGATATGGCATTCCCGATAACCTTGTATGACCTTGAAGTACAAAATGTCAACATGCAGGTGGTGTACATAATACAGAGACCAGCTTTTGTTAGCGAATTGTAAAGACAGTAAAGAATTGTGAGGAATTTTTTGGTGTTTCAGTTTCAGTAATGAAGGAAAAAGGGATGTAATGTAAAGATAAAGCAATTTTTACATATTATCAATGTTTTCAGACTTAGATTAGAAAGTAATTTTGTCTGTATATTTCCTCTTTTCCCTGTTCACAAATTTGTCCTTTGTCTGTGGTTCCCATAGGACTGTTCCATCGAAATGAAGGGGTGGCATGGTCACGCCTGAATTTTTCTCTTCAGGAAACTAAAAGGGAAGGATGAGTAAGGGAGCAATATCTTAATATGGCAAGAAGGGCTTCAATTACCGGTAACGTTAAGAATATGAGTCATGACAAAATTGAATATAGACACTTCCTCATCAACATTTAATGATTTATCAAGGGAAACTCACAAATTCAAGATGGAACATTTCTATATGTTTTCCCAAACATTGCTAATTAGGCTCCAAAAAGGTTAGAACTGGTCATGAAGAAATCAAATACAGACACCCCTCATAAACATTTTAAGGTGAAGCTTACATGTACAACAGATGGAACAAGAGAACTTTTTGTATGTTATGTCTCAAGCATCGCTAATATTTCCCAAACATTGGGAGTTGGAGCTGTTATACTTATCGGGTAGTTCAGAGAAATGGAGAGGATGTCCCACACCAGTGGTCTTGCTGATTTTACTGACAAGATCTGACATGTCTGATGCCCGAAATGGTATCTTATTGCAGGAAATATAGCTTGACTGAGCAAGCTTGGCAGTTATCCATGGGTAACTCTCCCAGCCCAAGCCATGCCTGCATTTCTGCCACAAACCACTAGCTGGCAGTATATATCTGTTGATGTTATATGATACTAGTATATTATGTTACAGGTTTGTGAATTTTTCTGTTATGATTTTGCTCTCGTCCATGAGTGCCGCCATGTTTTTCCCATCATGCTAAGGGAACATTGTATGATGGGAAGAAGTATCGCCATTTTAACATGACAGAAACGAAACATGGGGACCCGAACATGGCAATGTGTGATGCATTTTTTGTTGTTGTTGTTGTTGTTGACCATAATGTGGAAAGTGATTTGTTGTGGTCTTTTTTTTTTAGGAAATGCAACTGAAACCCTCCGCTAGGCGAGCTTGGCAGTTTCCTCACCAGTCCTTTCACCAATCAGGATGACCAGGAGGGAGAGGTCAACGGTTAAGGCCATGCAAGGACATACCTACATTCCCATCATCCTTTGTATTCTAGCTGGACTACAAACAACAAATGCCTGTAAGTGTTTCATGGTCAGTTTACCTGACAATTTCACAGCAGTACAGGAAATTCTCAAATTGATTTCACTTTTCCTGGGTACACAAGAGCACTGAGAATACACACAGTACATAGAAATGTTTTAGACCTTTCTTCAGTGTTAATGTGTTCCATTGTTTGACATCATTTTTTACCCTTTCTAGCATCCCTAGGACTAGCGTGTACTGTGTGCAGTGACACCCACCCAGGTTCTAACATCACCTGTACCTGGAACACTCAGCCGAATGTTTCCTACTCATCCTTCTTCAAACTGCAGTTTGGAACTGCATGTTCAAGGTAAAGGCAGCTAGCCTGAGTGTCAGCCTTGTTAGCTTTCGTCCGCTCCCCAAGATCCGCTCCACGTATCTAGGGGAGCGGCTAAAAGGCAGTATCCTACATTTGACTAGTATTAGCCTGGATGCCAGACTGTTGTCAGGGCCAGTACGCATACAGGCCAGTCCTTCAATTAGATTCTAAGGCTAGAAGTGCTAATGGTACAATTTCCTTGACCCTGGAGCCGAGGAGCTAGCCTGTACACCGGCCCTCTGATACGTAGACTAACATTTCAAAAATATTTCCATCAATGAATTCTGTATGTGTCTGTCCATTTCAAATGTATCTGTATTAAAATTTTTAAGTAGTGTTTTTCTTGTACCCACTTTTCACGGTGGTAAAATCTAGGCTGCAAAGTTCCCACATGTCATAGAACCCGAACTGTGTTCGATCGTGTTCGATCTGGGGAATTCGAATCGAACCCGCGTTCTATTTCGGGGTCACCTGCGGTCATGTACTATAAAGCGGCAAAACAAGCCTTTCTACATCCGTGCATTGCAACAGATAAAAAACAACACTTTTCTATAGATACAAACAGTTTCCTGGACAGTACATGTCCGCTATTATTTTTGGTGGACATGTAACATATAGCGAAGCTACTGTCGTATCCTTGAGTGACCTTGAATACTGTAATGATTCTTTACACCAGTATGAATAACACAATGCACACTTTCTGGCGATATGACATGTCTCCAAAACTCGTTCAAACCTGGAAACATGGAGAGTCAAACATACCCCATTTACGGCTCAAAATGACTGTAACGGTTGTCCCGAAAATCGTGTTTTAGGGATTTTTGAAAAACGGCCTCAATTTTGAATTATGGATAATTTAGTGAGAAAAATGTCAAAAAATGCCATTTTTACACCAATATGTCGACAAAAACTAGACTTAAAATCAGAAATTAAAAAATCCCTAAAACACGATTTTTTGTCTTATTCCTAGTCTGCGAAAAATATAAAAATCGGGGATCTGGGGTAATATACGTAGCCAGGTTTGAACGATGTTTGCCTAAAAACGTGATATGACTTGTGCTCGGAAACCCGAAAATAATCGTCTTTCTGAGCGAAATTTTAAAAAATCATTGATTTAACATAAAAAGCTAACATTTAAAGGATGTTAAGACGATAATTTCATTTTAATTTGACGAAATTTACCCCTAAATATTATTTGTGTATTTTCAAATATTTTACGGGTAGTCGAAAACAGGCCAAAATAGCGCATTGTAACCCGATACCTTTTCGAACGCGCATAGCAATGGGAAAGAATGCCGTAGTGACAGACCGCCGTGTTTCTCCAAGAAATTATACTTTTGAATAAGACAACTTGTCTGTATATTGTGTCAAACTCATGTTCAGATGCTATTTCATATTTCCTGTCTATCCTTTGTCTTCTTTGTAACCTATTGTTTTGTACATTGCAACCAGTAAAAAGTTTGTTCTGTGTTGTTTTTCAGTTATACCTCATGGCAAGTATGTAGCAGCTCGTCAGACGGCTCATGTGAAATCCCCTTTCTTGACTGTGAATCCACGTTCGACCGGTTTCAAGTGAAGGTGGAACCGTCCAACTCAGAGCCCCAAACAATCAGCTTTTACAAGAGTGACATTGGTAAATACATGTGACTTGCTATCCCTCTGAACCACAATAATGGCATTGGAAACATGGGTATACAGTGGTCAAACCTGTATTGGTGATCATCTCTACATAAGGACCTCCTAGCTACATGTATAGATGTACAGAGAAACTTGTACAAGTGACCACCCCTACATAAGGACCACCTAGCTATTGATGTACAGCCAAACTTGTACCAGTGACCACCTCTACAGAAGGACCACCTTACCATTGATATAGTCAAACTTCTACTAGTGGCCACCTCTACATAAGGACCACCCAGACATTGTTGTATAGTCAAACCCGTACATAAGGACCACACCATTATGTATGTACGTATATTGCCCTTTAATTTGCCTATGCAGCAACACCCCCCTCACCACCGCATTGGTGTGGTCCAAAGGAAAGGCAAGAGCCTCCTCAGCATAGCAATAATGTTGAAGGAATCCGCGCAGTGGGAGAGTCCAAGTTTCGTGGGGTCCGTGGATCTAATTGCTTACGCTCCAGGCCATGGCTTGAGCTGCTTGAAATAGGTAACAGAGGTTTGGAGTCGGGGTGTTCCTTTCCCAAGGTGGATTGTCTCTCCCCCCTAGCTGTCAGGCCTTGGTTACCAGGGTGCTATTTTCCAATAACTACATGAAGGTATCTAATACATGGGCATGGCGCACAGACTCAACCTCCTGTTGCCACTTGGAGGTACTGCAGGGTGTGAAATGGACTAAAATGAAGTGAAATAGGAAGAAATATGAAGCAAAGCAACAAAGCTCCATTTCAGTCCATTTCTTTATTCGTGACACCAAAAAGCAAACCTTACACTATACACAGCAGGGACCTTAAATGTCATTCCACTTTGCTCCTTCTTGCACCCTTAATACATGGACAGGAGAGTTCCTAGCATTCAGCTCTTCTCTTCTTCTCTTCTACACTCAAAGCAGTGGGGCTTAAGACAAGAAATGGCAATGGAAGGTTGGCTTACACAACGGACCCGTCACACAGCCACTGTCTGACTCAGTGAAATGCTTCATTTATTTGACCTTTTCTGATGTTTTTTGTCCTTCCACAGTCAAACCCCTTCCCCCGGAAGATCTGACTGTTGAGGCTAACAGCAGTACACAGCTGACAGTGCGGTGGAGGATGCATGAGTGTACAGATTTGGGATTCAACACCTACACTTGTCAGGTCGAATGTACCTCACCGCAGAACATAACCATGGTTAGTGAAGATTTACATTGTACTTTTGTGTAGTTATCAATTATGATTTTTGCCACAGTCATACAATGGCCAGGAAGTAGAAAAATGGTAATGACTATTTATGATATAAATAAAGATCTATGACAGAATGATATAATATTAATAAGAGGATGTAAAGGTATTTGAAAATTGCTTCTTACTGTAAAATTGCCTTCCTCACAGGATATAGGGATTTTCTTTTAAACCACCAAATTTGTCTCTTACCTTGCTTACGTTTTGGTGGTATCAGACACCTTTCTAAGAGCTTCTGACTGGAGTTCTGCTGTAAAAGTGCCACCTACATCGGCTACATATAGCGACAAGAAGCAGAACTCCAGTCAGAAGCTCTGACGAAGGTGTCTGATAGACACCAAAACATAAGCAAGGTAAGAGACTAGTGATGCATACCGGTTCATCACTGGACTTGGATCCGGACTTGTAAGAATGTTTAGGTTCAAGTCCAAAAAAACCTAAAAGTCAAGAACCGAGTCCGGACTTATTACCATAAAAGACCATTTCACATACCCCTTTTCTTTCCAAACCACCTAAAACTTTCCGTAGATTGTAAAGTCTTTGCTGCAAAATGAAGAAAACATTGCTATCAGGCATCGTCAAGTACCGGCCTCCATGTTGTGTGGCCAAAGTTTCACCCAGACAACATTGCAATGTTGCCAACATGCAATTTTGTATATGCCATGGGTTTAGGTCCTGACCTGTCCGGAACTGAACCTAAACCTCTGGACTTGAATCCGGACCTGAACCTGAAATTGGGTTTAGGTATGCATCACTATAAGAGACAACATTGGTTGTGTCAAAGAAAATCCCTGTGTCCTACCAGCCTGATGAAACTATTTTCGGATGCTTTCCTTACAGACATCAGATGCTGAAGTTGACTTTCGCCCAGGAAGTTCCTCAAAGGACTTGCAGCGCCTGAGTCCTTACACACGGTACAGGGTCCGGGTCAGGTGTAAGCCCTTACATGTAGGTCTTTGGGGCGACTTCACAGACACAGTGGAAGCACGAACTCATGCTGAAGGTAAAGATACTGACTTGTATATTTGTGTGTTATGTCATGTATTTTTGTGTTGTTGTTTTTTTATATGACACAACGGGTTGTTTATTTATTCTCTATCTTGTTTACTTGCAGTGTGTTTTTCATGTATGTTTAGGGCACCACTGTATTGCAGTTAACAAGATTGTGTATTCTGACTTTAAAACTAGAATAATAAAAAGATTTTATATAGTAAAAATGTTCTTTTTCCTGCTTTTTTTTCTCAGCCCCCTCACGTGGCCCTGTTGTACAGACACCTGAAGATGTTTGGTTAGACTACAGAAAAGGGCTCAGAAATGTCACCCTGGAGTGGGAGGTAATGTCTCAGACCTCATCTCCCTTCTAGCTTACTTGCTTACTTATCCTCTTCATCCCTTGTGAGACAACTTTGTTGTTGTTGTTATCCTTGCTTAATGTCTAATACATCGCTAGACCTGGTCTCTTAGTTTTTGTTTTTGCTTGGTTCAGTTCAGAGTCAAAAAGTCTCTCTAGGTATTTAACTCTTGGTGCCTTGACAACTCACTTCATCCCTAGTGAGTCCCCACACAAACATATGGCAAGATAGAAGTTTTTTCTTCTATCTGGGTCTGTCCTTGGCTACCTCTTTTGCTGATCACCAGGATAGTCCCATGTCCACCAGGTCACCCGTCACAATTCTTCTGCAGGTGGTTTTGGGTCTGTCTCTAGCTGTTCCTAGCTGCACCACTGGAAAAAGAATCTAGCTTTTTGCTCAAGTGCTAAAATCTTTAAATCTCTCTAAATCTTTTCGTCAAGTGAAAAAGGGTGCCTCAAGTTAACCAGGATTTCCTTCCTCAAGTCCTAAAATCTTGAAATATTCTGCAAATAAGATTTTCCTAAGTTTTTCCTCTAGTTAAGGAGGATTTCTTTTTTGTCACCAGGCTTTGTCAACAGTAGATTCCAATGGAGTCCTTCAGGGATATCACATCAGAGTCCAGGACGTGAGAACTGATGAGGTTATGGAGTTGACAGTGAACGACAGCGGTGCCCAGACATACACCCGCACTCTGGGTCACCTGAAACTGTCGGGATACCGAGTAAACATCACGGCTTATAACGAAGAGGGACACTCACCACCAACCTCACGCATCATTCCAGACAGAGCAACAAGTGAGTTAATTGGCTACTGGTTTCAGTCAGGTTTTGGGATTGAGTCTATGCCAACCATTGATTTCCTAATCCACATTTAGCAGTTTGTTCATTGTAGCCTGGGTACCATCCGGATTTTGCTTCGCTACGCTAGAATTTTTTCACTGCTGTGTTCATTGTAGAAAACTGCTATTTGTGTTTACATTTACATATTGGTAGATATGAAAACATGGAACTCTCGTTTCTGTCAATTTCTCCTCATTGGACAATTTGCTTTAATGGTTGTTGGCCTTCTACAGATTTTTTTACAAAATAATTTTTTATTTTACAAGATAACTACACAAACGAAAAATTCTGTTCCTTTTCTTATAGGGCCGGACCCTCCAAGAGACCCCGTTGCCTTGACAACGAGTGACAACAACCTTCAGTTGTCATGGCAACCACCAGCAGAGGTCGGAGGCATCGAAGCGTACGTCATCCTCTGGTGCGAGTTGGAAACAGATGCATCCTGTTTAGGGCAGGAGAATGACAAGAGTGTTAATGGGAGTGAGCTGTCTGTCTCCCAGCAACAGCTCGGCGACAGCTGGCGACCTCTGACCCGCTATAGGTTCGTGGTGAAGGCAGAGAATTCTGCAGGACAGAGTGGGGCGTCGACGGCAGCCATTGGCTATGTTCAACAAGGAGGTAAGGAGGCATCTTTAACTGTCATATAGTTAAACATGTACATGTGAAATGGAACAAATGAGACTCCGAGATACCTGGAAGATGTTTCAGATCGACTTAACCATAGTTTATGTTTGGCACAGTTGATATTATTTACATTTGAACTATATGTAAAATTGTTGTGCAATCTAGTTGATCATATCAGCTATTTGAAATCCTTCTGACACCGTAAGGTTTATACGGCGGTGCCCATCTCCTCTATAGCCCTTGGGCCTCACAGTTATACATGGGCTAGTCCACTGTTTTGTGTAAAGACATACTGATTCGTGTACTACATATGATTGGGAGCATTAAATTGAATGTTTTTTTTTATGTTGCCAGTGCCGTCCTCCCCGCCCCAGAATGTGACAGTCCAGGCTGAAACCTCCACATCACTGCTGGTGAGCTGGAAGCCACCACCTCTCCAGGACAGGAGGGGGGTCATCACCACATACAGGGTGTATTACTACGTCACACCGACTATCAGTGGACAGCAGATGGCTACAGGTTTGTATCAGTTGTCTGTATCTGTATTAGTACACCATTACCTTCATAGACTGTTACACAATCGGTAAACAATTTCATCTGGTTTGTAAGAGACTCCTTCATGTATAAGAAGGTTTTTTAAGTCAATAAAACGAGTGGTTCGGTGTAACGAAATGAGCTTAAGAAATCTGTGCTTTATTAGTACATTAAAAGGCAAACTTGTGGACTTAAACAAAATTTCAAGTATAGGTGTAGATACAGCAATTTCTTTGTAGACCTATACTTAAATCCTATGTATGTACCCACATGTATACCTAAAATATTTGGGATTCACAGCTCTAGTTACCAGTAGCTCATAAACATTTTTTACATTTTTTGTTCTTCAGCAGTTGAGCAGAATGTAACAGTGAGGATCCCAGATGACTCCCAGCCTGTACAGTTCTCCCTGTCAGAGCTGAAACCGTTCACATACTACACAGTCAGACTGTCAGCAGTAACGTCACAGGGGGAGGGCGACAAAACTCAGCCTGTTGGCGCGAGGACCAGGGAGGCAGGTGGGTTACACTATGCAAAACTTGTTTTGTTTTACCCTCCAATCCATGAGTGCCGCCATATTGATTTGTCACGGGTCAGCCATCTTGGCTCTTATCAGCTGACAATCATAGAATGTCTCAGCCAACCAGTCATAAGTCAATTTTGGAAAGCCCTGCATCATCATTGATTATTCACTCTATTTAGCTGGAAATAGTATTCTTTTGTCACCAATGCATCTGATATTTTTATTCTTGAATGTGTGAATGTAATTCTGTCAGAGTCATGTTTTCCAGCTTTTCTCAGTAACTGTAGTGTAGCTGATTGTAGTTTGTGAGTTAACACACATACCGGTAGTGATATTTGAGTTAATGCATATTGCAAATTCTCTTTGTTTCTAGCTCCAAGTGACCCACCTTCTGATGTGCGAATTTACAATGTCAACGTGAACAATGTGACCATGTCCTGGACACCCCCATCTCAGCCCAATGGAATCATCCGTTATTACATCATCAAGTATGGAGACAACACCACCTCAACAGAGGGAAACCACACAGCCTTCATTTTAGAGGGTCTGGAAGGAGGCACTAACTATGCCATACGAGTACAAGGTTGTACTGCGGCAGAAACCCCATGTGGACCCTTTTCATCGGCACAGAATGTTGAAACTAAAGTAGGAGGTATGTGAATTAAAGTTCAATTGTTTATATCATTTTGGTTTTGCTATTTGTCTATCTCTCTTATGTACAGTGTACAGTAAACTTAGTAAAGGATGCTGAAAGATCTTACCTTCAAATGTAAATTCTATTTGTAGAAAAATTGTAAGTATAGGTAATATAATGATCCCATAACCCTGCTTAACTTGATGAAATCTTGGTGAAAGAAACAAATGAGAAATAGGAAAGGAAATGCAAGAATTTGAACATCCTGGTCCCAGTCTCTTATTGGTTGAACAGTGGTGCAGTTACTTGATTGACAGCCAGGATATTATGGTCTATTGCACACAGCATATGACATTGTAGTTATGTAAGACTTGCTTTGACGATGTTTAATTTTTCAGTTCCTGGAGTTGTGCAGAATCTGTTGGCAGAGTTTGAGCCCACAAGCGGCGATGTCAGTGTCTCCTGGACACCGCCTGTGCTGAAAAACGGACGGGACATCACCTACGTGGTTTCGTACGGACGGAAGGACATTAGCAGGAGTGACAACACTGCTGTCACCACCAGTACAACACACTGGACCAGCAACAAGCCTGCGAGCACTTGCTCTGATGGACTGGAGCTTTCGTTCATGGTCCATGCACGGACAAGGGACCCAGTAACTGGACAGGTGTTTGATGGGCCGAGTTCAACCGTGTACCTGTCTTGTGATGACAGACCAGGGACTGCACCCTCTTCTGGTGGTAAGGCCTGTTTGTTTGTTTTTTCTGTGAAAAATATCTCATGCCGAGGGGTGCAAAAATGCATAATTTTTTCTGTGAGCTGCCACAAGAAATGGTCTTGCTGGATAGTGGAGAACAATCCTTTGTTATGCAAAATAACAGTGCAAAAGCTCTCATGTACAGAAGAATTTATCACTTGTTCTAAATCAATAGGCAAAATAGAACTTCTGCAAGTCAGTACATGTCAAAGCTTGTATCATTGTGCCTAAAACTATTGTACCTAGCCAAAGTTCCAATCTTGAACATGAATATGGGCAGTCTAAAACCTTCATCAGCAAAATACAGCTTTGTATGTTTTTTTTTGTACTGAACGGCTTCTAACCTAAAAACTTTCTAATCTGTTTCAGACATGCACAGAGCCAGGCTGACGTTAGAAGCTAAAGTTGGGATCATACTAGCTGTACTTGTAGCCTGTTTGGTGGGTATAGCTGCACTGGTGCCCCAATGCAGGAAAATGTAAGTCAATTATACAGTATAGATAAAGATTATTTTTAATATTCGGTTGCCTTGCAAATCTTGCTTCTTTTTACATCTTATTATATTCCAATTGTGAATTCAAGGGTGACACAAATCAAATTTTTGTTGCTCAACAGTTGCTCAGAAGGGGAGGGGGGGCTAAGTACTGAGGTTTAAGTTTAATTCCCATAACACTGCTTTCTTAATCCTGTATTTTGCAGCATTAGCTTTTATTGTAAAGCAAACTCTAGTGCAATGAACTAAACTCTTTGTAAGGCTTGGAATTACAAAAGATTTAAAACTCATATCTTTGATACTTCTGTGTCGTTTGCAGGTATAAGAAGACCAAGACTAATGTTCCAGGCCCTGCAGACTTCATCTCTGACCCTAACCAGGTAAAAAAAAGTACATTCTTCCTCAGTACCTGTATTATGTGTATTTGAAACACCACAGTCTCCAAATCATTGTGTACTTGAATATTTTGTTGGGACTTGTAATCATTGACTTGTAGCAGTTAAGCTCAGGAAACTAGAAGTATATTTGGTGAGTGCAGATTTGTAACTTTTTTGGAGCCTCTTTGACTGGCTAAACTTATGTGTTAACTTTTTTCTTACTTTCATTTTTGTTTCAAAAAGATCAGACAAGGATGATCATATTTCAGTTTTGTACCTTGTTGGTGGCCTATGACGAAACATTAAGTCATCACAACAGTTAAGCCAAATGATAGAAGAATCAAATTGAAGATCCATACATGTCAATGTAGAAGAAAAAAAAAACTAAACATAATTTCTTGTGACTGCTCAGGGTACGTACTACACCATTCCTGATGGGCCCCAGACCCTGAACAACCTCCAGATCATCAGCGAACAGTCGGGGAAGACTCCCGAGGTCCTGGACGACTTCAGCAAGCTTCGGGTGGAGAGGCAGTGGTCCCACGACTCTGCATTCGGGTCTGATTACGGCAACAACAACGTCGACTTAAACCTGGCCGAGAAAAAGGCCCACTACTCCGTTGGCGGCAGCAGCAGTGGCTACAGCGATGTATCGGATGAGAACGCAGCCCTGCAACCAGACGCGAGCAAGGAGGAGAATTCACTTTCAAACAATCAAGAAGGTGATGTGGCGGACTATTCTAAGCTTGCTGACGTAGACGGTAACTTCAAGGACTTGAAAGTCAACTACGTCAAGCAGGACTTGAAAACAGTGAGCCCAAAAGGCTCAAAGTCGTCTCTAGATAATCTAGCAACGATAACAGACTATTCCAAGGTGGCAGGAAAAAAGCCATAGAAAGGATTTGGACGTCAACTACGTTCGAAACACAGGAACAAGTGGGAACAAGCCTAAAGACGTCCACAGAACTGAAGAATCAAGCCGTAAGCATGCAGATATTCCTTATAGGGAAAGTCCAGTTCCGCCCAAGTGTAAGACAGTTGATCCAGACAGTGTAGTTTATGTTACAGTATAACTGAAACAGCCTTTACTGAGGGGTTAACAGGATTTTCTTGCACGTAAAACTGAGCATTTGCACGCCCAGAGTTTGTTGCTTAAGGGATGAGATACCTTTATGGAATAGACTTGCTTGAGAAGCAGAAGAAGCAAGTTTTTAAATTTGAAAAGGCACTGTAGTTTGTGGAAAAGTTCATTGTAATCAGGTGACAGATTTGGTCAGTGTAAAGATGTCATGAGCAGAGCATATATGGGTTGTTTAAACCCCATATTCTAGCACTTTAACTGTAAATTCATGGAACCTATCTTTCTGCCTGTAAACCCTTTCTCCACCTAAAAGCTGGCAACCGGACAAACAGATACACAAACCCACAGCTCCGCCACCCAAAACAATACTGTACACAGAAGTAATTACTTGTAGCATGGCACCTACACACACTGTAGGCTAGCCCAACGGACATCATGATCTAAAAGTTCCTCATATATACAATGTAGTTAGAACCGTATCCAAGAAAACCTTTGTCTACTTCTATGACAAAGAAATAACTTTTTGCATTTCAAAACATTCTGACAATACCATTCCATGCTTAGATACGCACTGTATCTACATGTATTTAGATTCCCATTAGTACTGAATTCTGACAAGAGAAACAATGTGAAGGGATACTTCATTTACAGCATTTTGGTTCTGAATTCAGGGTATATCATCACTATACATGTACCTATCGTAATTTTGTAGTCCAGCTGAAGCCAATATTATTAGAATATTACTGGTATTTCAGTAGTTGAGAGCTAAAATATCGTAAACATGTACCAGTAGCTATTAGAGCTAACATGAAGTAGAATTGTCCTGAAGCAGGGTAAATCAAGGGCTGTCTAAATGGTAGCAGGTTTTGGTAAGACTGGAAGTGATTGCATGTAATTGCTGTGAAGAGTTGTTTTATTAACAATGCATGTTTCTTCTGTATATATACATGTATAATGTAATCATTTAATGGTTTTAAAGCCAGCACAGGGATAGCTGTAATTTGTTTCTGTCAAGCTTATTGTGTAATGGTATAAGAAGCTTCTGTATTCAGCAACCAGTGTTTTTTTTTACATCTGACGTTTCAGTGATTTGTGTCTACTACTGTCAAAAGGGCAAAACAACAGATGACTGAGATGTAAAAAAAACACTGGTTGTTGAAAAAGAACTTTCTTATACAGGCTCTTGCCAACCTAATGAAATTATACAGGGTCTTGTGTAATGTTTTCGCTCCGTTACAGAATTTCCCCCATTTTCAGACCGTTCTGGCTAACCTCAAAGTTGTGAGAAAAGAACAAACTGCCTTTAGGTTATGAATTCATATGGAAACTGAATAGCAAATGGTTGACCATTAAAACTATAGCAAAATAAACTGCCTTATAACAATCATGGTTACAAACAATTTTGAAATTTCAGGGGCTTTTACGAACTATGTTTCATACACTGGAATCAGTTACTATGATACTAAAAAAAGATAAATTGTACATGCTAAAATGCATGTACTGATATGGAAACAGAATTAGCAAATGGTTCAACATTAGAACTATAGCAAACTGCCTGTAACAATCATGGTTATATACAAACACTTGTGAAATTTCAGGGTCTATTCTGACTGTTCATGAACTGTGATCAATTACTATGTGATACTAAACAATGTTGGATGACTAATTGTACATACTAAAAATTCCTATATATTTTTGTGATCAATTGTGTTTTGTGTGAATCCCGTTGTTGTTAGTCACGTGTCATTTTGTGATGCACAAATTTGCCTATGGTGCAATTTCAGTGTGTATTGATGTTCGTACTTGCATATACAATGTATCAATCAATGAAGACGTAAAAAAATCTAAATCATGTAAAATATAGGTTACCTGGAGTTTTTAGGCCCCAAAGAAGACAGAAAATGAAAATATTTGGAAAGACAGATATTTTCTTTACGGTCCAGTTTATTGATTATGACATAAAATGATTTTAGTAGCATGAAAAACATGTTTAATGTAGAAAAATGAAATCATAAATCATTTGGTACATGTATTTTGAAAAATTAGGGAAAGCCTATGAGCTGAGCCCGAGGGTTGTATATATAAGCATGGCAATGTCCTTACAAACCATAGTCTCTGTTCAGGGGACTTATACATCTGTGCATGTACATGTGAATTCGCAATTGCTAAGTTAACAAATTACGTGTACTATGTGAAACTTGTCAAACTGTCGGTGTGATTTTTTGCCGTCCCCATTTTTGTGTTGCTTCCTCATTGCATTTATGATGAAATGCTATATGCTAACTTGTGGAAACAATAAAATGTGGTTGAATATAATTGCCTACAAAGCATTGTGACATGCATTGTCTTTTTGTCTTCTTTATATGGTATATTAAGGCCACAGCAGGTAAATTTTATGGATGGCATCATCAGCAGACTCCAAATCTAATGTGATAAGGGCGAAAAAAACAAGGTGGGCTAAAACAAGATTCCTACATATTCAAATTTTTCCAATTCTTTATTTCCATACCAACATAACAGACATACAATATGGAATTATAATGTTGCCTGAATGGCATTGGTATTGGCATTTTACATTATAAACCTTGTTAAGCAAGGAATTATACCTGATATTGTGGTAGCCTGGCCTGCCAGGCACCCAGGTTTTTCCGTAAACCCTGTTGTTACTTTTTCTTAATCCTCAGAAAATGTATGTGACTTGATGAAATAAAGATGTTGTTGATATACAGGCTTCAATGTACTATATGCTGTATATATGTACTAAAACACATCAATCCCTCGCTTGTCCATGGGTGTACTGTTGTGTCAAACAAAGCGTCTAGTAGTAAAGTATTGCGGCCAAAACTGCAATACTTAATACATGGAACTGATGGTGAGTTCAGCACCAAGGAGAGGTCCACACTGGTAATGTACATTAAAAAATGTGGGTGAGGCACCCACAAGTTTTGGGATATATAAAACTTGCTGTGGTAGAAGGTATCGTTGGGTTTGGCACAGAAAACAAGTCTAAAATTAGGCAATGAGAATAATTACTTTTGATTGGTGGCGGAATGGTAATGGTTGATTATCAAAAGCAATAATGATTAATCCCGTTGGCACCCCTATGCAATTATCACATATGGTACGGTCCATTCGACCAGCTGCAGGCAGGAAGCTAGTGTGGCCACGCTTTCGTGCGGCGTGTTGTGCGTGAATTCTCTCCAACTTTTGGGGTAAATTTCCGGCTTTTTGTCCCCAAATTATCCGTCTAAAGTGTGCAGTATATCGTCTGGGCGTTTCCAGGTCGGATGTGTGCCGTTCTTTGGATGTTTGAGGGAGAAAAACTCGTATTTCCTGGCGCTGGCGGGCGGAGTTTGGAAACGAAAATATGGCGACTGCCACATGGCGGCGTGTGCTAGCTGAAAAAGAGTCGTTCTTGCGAGGTAAGGCAACAAATTATCTCCTTTAATGTACATGTTTGTACTTCCAACAAACCTGTAGCAACAGACCACGTTATAATTCGTTATGTTATCCGTTATACTCAGTACAAATTTGCGTTTTGTGGAACGATATGTCGCACACATTTTGTACTTGAGTATTTTTCATGATAGGGAGGTTGTTTTCATGACTCGTGGTTTTGGGGAACACTGAATATATTTCTTCCATGTTGAGTGGCATTGAAAAAAGCTAGGAGCAAATTTGTTAGCTAAAACAAACTCTGTTACAAACACGTTTTTTGTTGAAAAATTTCCGCAGTTTGGCCCAGTGAACACCTTTTGGAGCGCACCGCACGTGTGCATAATTAAACCCGCTTAACGTTCCCGCCAAAAAGTCGCGTGAACAAGACTTCCCATGGCTATAATTAACTGGGTACATATATTATTTACTTCTGAGCACCCAGAATTAAATCTGTGCACAAATGAAAATACATGCAGTTTAATTTCGGTTTTGTTGCTGATTTTTTCCTTGCTTTTGAATCAGAGCAATAGAAATAGAGGTTGTCACATTCAATTTGGTATTTTACTGGATTTTATACTTATTGTTTTCATCTATTATTGATATATAATTGTATGAAGCAGTCACTGTGGTTGCGCAGATTTGATTTTGAGGATGAACTATGCAATCTTGGTCCTTATTGTATAATTTATAGTATGTGTTAGTACTTTCTATTGTTTAATTGTATGCAACTGTGACTGCCATTTTTGTGGCTTACTAGTATGTATTGGTTATCTGACAGTGTAGTTTTTAATACTTTTAATACAATTAATATACAAATCACTATAGAAACCTTTTTCCTCATGTAAGGAAGAATTAATAAGGTGTATTCACATGACGTCATCACCCTCCCCCCCAAATGTGCATTTGTCTTCGTCAAGAAGACTATAGAATCAGTCTGTTTTTTTTTTGTGGGAGACTGTGGATTTAGCGGCAGAACTCTTGAAGGCATGGTTCGATGTTCATAACTTTTGGCAGGCAGGTTACCGTTGTGGGGACCAAGTGTTTCGAGGCCTGCCAAGACGTAGTTTCTAGATAAGTAGGAGGGTTTAGTTGATGTTGACAAGTACAATGTGATAAAGAAAGCTTGATTTGAGTGCCGCGGCTGAACGGTTGGTTGAGATTTTTGTTGGACACAGATAGCCAGTGTCTTGTTTCTTAGGTCCCATTCCCACTAGGGTAATTAAACAAAATTGTCCAGATCCAGCCAAATTGATTCGCTAAATAATCTGATCCAAGCAAATCAATTCAGCTCCATCCGGACACCTTTTACCCTAGTGAGGCCATAGAAATCCATCACAGAACTAACGTTACAGGTGCCAATGAATTGTTGATCTATTTGTCGAACTAACGTTTTCGTGAGGACTCGCTAGTTCCTTCGTATGCTGACTCAATAGTATAATAGTACAAGATTATGTGCGCTTTACTGGTCCCAGACCAACATTCCACCATGAGGCAAAACACATTGATTTTGAAGCAAAAAGTTTTGAAGGAAAAAAGTGCCAGTTGCATTGTGTGTATTCCTCATTTCTAAAGTTTCCAGTGTTGTTTTCAATTTTGTCAATTATGCTTAACATAGATACTGGGTGGTTCTTTTTGCACAAATTTATGCATAGATTTAGATGTTGGTAAACTAGAAACTGTAAATGGACCAAACAAACTGCTGCTAGATTGGAGCTTTTAGAATCTTGGAAAATTGCCTTTTGTACATATTTTATAATAGTTGTAATATATTATTTTATAATAATTATGGGCATTACCGGTAAGTACTAGATAGTGAATGTTTTGGCAACATGTTTTCCTTTGACAACATCATGAACATGTTTTCCTTTGACAATTGAATTTCTCTTGAGTAAAATCAGGGTTTTGATGTTGGGACTAAAGTTGAATGTGGTTTATATAAAGTTGTATGTTGTGTGACATAATTTCTTGCTAGACCAATTGCTGTTTTCTATACACTGACTTATGTTTCTCCCGTTTTCAAGATGGGGACCCGAAGCCTGGTCTGAGCGGAAGGAAGAACCAAACTTTTATGGACAGAGCTGTGTGAAAGAAGATGGGGAGGTGTGAGTATGGTTTCTTTATTAACACGAGACAACACTCCTGGAGTCCACATGCCTTCAGGTGCACACACTTACACACACATTTCTCTCTTTTGCCCTGTTCAGTCTGTATGCCTTTTTTCCATGAAGAGCCCTTTAACTTTTTAACTTTAACCGGCAACATAAATCCCACGTTAGGCGTCACTGAAAAATTCTTCGTATCGTGTCGTTGAAAATGCCAAATTGCCCTAAACCTTTAACATTAGTCCCACGTAACGCGGCACTGCAAAATTCTTCGTATCATGTCGTGTCGTTGAAAATGCCAAATTGCCCCAAACTTGTCACTTAAACCTTTAACTTCAATCCCACGTTAAGCCTCACTGAAAAATTCTTTGTATCGTGTCGTTGAAAATGCCAAATTGCCCAAAACCTGTCACGTAAACCTTTAACTTAAATCTCACGTTAGGCGCCACTGAAAAATTCTTCGTATCGTGTCATTGAAAATGCCAAATTGCCCCAAAATTGTCACTTAAACCTTTTTTACACACTTCTTTGGACAATTGTGGTTGGTTAAAAGTATTCTGCCAAAAAATCTGTTGATCAATTTTCCCGCCAAAAAAACCCACCTAAGTGGCACCCTCACCTGGTTAATTAATTGGATTAAGTTTTCCCGCCAAAAAACTTAGTATATGGAGCACTCTAACCTTGAACTTGTGCCCCCCTCCCCACTCTTAGCTTCTTCCACAACTCACACAGTATTTTAGTTACACTGTTCCAACACTTTGGACTTCTTTGGACATGTAACTTCTTCGAACACGTAGTCACCACACTTTGCTACCCAACACTTAGTTGATCGAGCACATTTTTTCTGCCACAACAACTTTAGAATAATCTCTCGCTCTCCTGGTCGGTCAATGCACTGGTATACTGATGTTTCGAAGCATCAATGTCTCCCGAAAAGACATCCCATGGGTCGAAACATCAGTATACCAGTGCAATTGACTGACCAGGAGAGCGAAGGATATAATATTTTATCTAAAGTTGTTGTGGCAGAAAAAATGTGCTCGATCAACTAAGTGTTGGGTAGCAAAGTGTGGTGACTACGTGTTCGAAGAAGTTACATGTCCAAAGAAGTCCAAAGTGTTGGAACAGTGTAACTAACATACTGTGTGAGTTGTGGAAGAAGCTAAGAGTGGGGAGGGGGGCACAAGTTCAAGGTTAGAGTGCTCCATATACTAAGTTTTTTGGCAGGAAAACTTAATCCAATTAATTAACCAGGTGAGGGTGCCAATTAGGTGTTTTTTTGGCGGGAAAATTGACTTAACAAGAAATCAGCAAAACAAAACTACACCCTATTTGCTCGAAAGTTATTTCACACGGTTTCAGCTATTTCAAAACCTGCCCAAATGTTTAAACTAATGCTGAAAACTATCTGCCTGAACTACCGTAACTTGAATGCGGGCTAGTACTTTTCAAGTAGAAAGTCTTTA